AATAATTGTTTTAAAAAATACATTATAAATACATTATAAATAATTACATACTTTTTCTTAAAAACAATTATTTTTTTTTACTAATTGATTTGTCTCATTATTCTGTACATAAAAGTATTACGATAATCTAAAGATAATAAGATTATCTAAAACTAAATATTTTACGAGATATTTTAATTTTTATATCAAAATATGTCAGATTAAAATATAAAATAACTCAAAAAGTACTTAATGAAAAAATACTTTATTATAGTGTTTTGAAAAGCTCTCGAGATAAGCTACAAGAATATGCAGTAAAAAGTAGGCAGTTCCGTTTAAAAAATTGAAGGTGACCTTGCTTTTTTATGGAAAAAAAATGTTTGGTCAATTTTTATTCTTGCAATTTGTTGCCGGTTAGAAACTGATAAATTTCTGTTTATGACTTTTTTATGTCAGATTATTGTAAGTGCCTTAAAAATTGTGGCGACCGTTACGAGGACCACCCTGTATATATATGTATGTATATAAATTTTACATCTATATTAAAAATTTAACGTTAAAATTTGACTCACACACACAGGATTGATATTTTTTTATAAAAGATAAGATAGTAATACGATAAAAATAGCTATTAGTATAATATAAGACATTTACCTGATGTGAATTGAAGAGCGCGATGTTATTAACAAAGTAATCATCAAATGGTTCATATACGGTGTCCCAATCATATCCCATTCTCCAGTTTGATAAATCAAACAAATCCTTATCAGCCGGTAATATTAAAGGTGTTACAATAGGCTTATAAATACCCGGTTTGATGGGTGGTACAATCGGTACAAATTGTCTATAATTCGAATAAATCTGTGGCTTCGGATAACTTCGGAGTTTAATGTTTTCGAAATTGTTTGACGTTTGGTAATTTGTGTGCATAAACGGTTTTCGTATAATGTAAGTTGTATCGACGGTTTTCGGATGATTATAGTGAGCTCGGCCTTCCGGCGGTACATATCGACCGTCTGATGTTAGATAGACCTTGATTAGATTAGAATCAATGAATCATTAGCTATAAAAAGTATGTGTGAAATTTACATTAAAGTTTAATAAAATAATTAAAGGTAATAATTCAAAGTATTTGATAGAAACAAACATCATTCTATAATTAATAATATATATACAAACATGCCTTAATTATTTCCGGCATTCTTTGATCGAAATGAGGATGTTTATGAACATGCCGAGCATCTAAGATGATACCGTCAGGTATAGTAATACCTTCTTTGTTCAATCGATTCAGTGCCAAGCGATCCGTTTTGAAAGCTTCCTCTGGAATCTTACCACCCAATGCTGGTAGCACTTGCTCTCGAAAAATCTGCCGCTTTTGCTGCAACGGCCATTTTTCTCAATTAAACACAAAATTCGCTAATTGTAAGCCCGATAATAATATATTTTTGATGATAATATATTGCATATTGCAAATGGCGATATTTACAACAATTGCCGATTATTAATTCAACAATGCAATTCAAGATTATGCAATATTACACTTTGGAAAATGTTACATATTAAAAAAAGATTGTTTATAATTATCTAAGTATTTAACCTTTTCCGCTTTAACATGCCCAGACAAAATCGTGATTGCCAATAGCAATCGATACCAATATCCTTGTTTAGTTATCATCATAACGATGAACGTTTCATTCTACATCTACAATTATATTGTCACGCGCATCCTTTTAATATGACTGTTTCGATCTGTAACATAAAGCATATTTCACAAAAAACATCTTTTCAATCGCAATATATACTCGCTCGAATCACCTTAATATTTTTTTTCTTTTCTTCAAAAAATATTCTAAAAGTTTTTTAAACGATTTTATCATTATTATCGTACTGATTATACATATTGAGCTTAATGTATCTGAAAATTGGTGCGCTGTAGGAAAAAATATATATGTATAGTAGTATATATATGTATATAGAGTTATACATATATATAAAATGGCCGATGCATTTTCATCAGATCACTATAAACATATTTTAGCACATATCTGTATCAATGTATCTTTTAGTTGAGAAAGACTCACGTACATTGCGTAATAGGGATACGCACGACTGGTATACAAGCTATAGTAATAGATAAACTAGTGCATTATTCCTTGTGCAGCACTACTTTGCCATATTATTGGAAAACGCTGTGCTTTTACAATCTATTCGTTTAACAACTCATCCATCATTTTGCTTCCTTGAAATTAATAATAAATATGCCATCCCGTATACATTATGAGATATGCATAGATTATATAAGATATAATTTATGTTCGTATAAATTTGCTTGGATCATACAATATTTTAGTAAATAATGCCTTGATTCTCATAATTGTAACATTTTTTAAATTTATATAAAAATATAATAGTAAGAAATTGCGCAAATCGTTATAACAGAGTATTCAATACTTCATTTTTATTGGTTTATTAAAAAGAATTATACATATGGCGCGATTTGAACGATTTTATTTAGTAATCAGCATCTATCGTCACAATCACCATTTTCTTTTAGCCTTGTTCTAATTATGTTCTCGAGATAAGCTAGTGCAATCTTCATCTCTCGACTCATATAACGGCGAGTAGATAGATATGAGAAACACGAAAATAATATTGGGATTATTATTGTTCAATTATTTCTGTGACCATTATTTTATTAATAGTAAAATAAAGTATGCCATTTGGCAAAAAACTGTCGGATGTAAAGCGCAAGGTATTATTTCAAATTGAATTCTCTTCGTATTTAAATTGAACTTTTTACAAACAGAAAAAAACAATTTGATAGCGCTAATTAGTAGATACGTAATTAATATGATAATAAATATTAAAATATATTATTAAAACTTTTTTAAAATAATGTTAAATGCTCTTTAACGCTATGCATTATTTTATAGTTATTGCAGAAATATATTCAACTTTAAAAATAGATATGTAGTAAAATAGTTACCACTAATGAAAGGAATTGAAAGGATCCATTCTCCTGAGACTAATTTTCGAGCAGCAAACAAACAACTTATTATCAATGATGCTATGTTATTATACGGACAAGTTTAATTTCGTCGCATCTGCAACGGTCGAGTGAATTTGTTCATGCGATCGCATCCTTTCATTCACCTTTCTTTTCATCACAATGAAAGTCCTACATGATACTTTTATTTGTACCTGGCGCATTTATTTGTAACTCTTTCTTCCTCTGAAAACATTGACATTATCGAATAGTGTTTCATTTTATATATAATTCAATGTAATTTTACATATCGAATTTATTTGACGCGTTATTAAACTATCTTTCACAGATTTTGCATATTTGCAATATTTTTCGCATCAATATTCTAATCATAGGAATTGATCGGATAGACAAACACTTTATAGATTGCGCACTTTGCATAAAAAATTGCGCCTGCTACGCTAATCGAGAAAAAGACGTTTTTTTCCTACAGACTATCTATACATATATTGAGTGTCACTTAAAGACCACTCACTAAGTATATAGCGTTATTCCTTACCAAAAAATGAGGCAAGAAATCATGAATCATTTTTTTCTATAACATTTAATAAAAAAGTAATTATTAGCCGGACGCGCGGCTAAAGATTAGCGCTGATTGGCCTGACTTTACTCAATAATTACTCCTTTATTAAGTGTTAAGTTGTGAAAAAAATGATTCAGAACTTTCCGATTCATTTTTTGATAAGGAATAATGCTATGTAGTTATTGTTAGTGGGCGATTTTTAAGTGACACCCTGTATATTGTACTCAATAAAAATTTATTATTATTAATATGATATGTAAAACGAGCAAAAATGTATTTATTTTTGTTCTACATGTTGCTAGATTTCTTTGAATATTTTTTAGAGTGATACAAGCAAAGCCTCTAGATGACTATTACATATGATATATATGTTAGAATTATGTGTCACTAAACGACGCGCAAACCAAAATTGTGACGCCATTCTGATGAATGCTTAACAATCGCAAACCTTGAATCTGTCTTACATTACAAAAAAAAATATCTTTTTATCTTTATTCTACTATTTATTTGTGCTCTACAATCACTATATCGAAGAATTTTTTTATACAAAAAATGGCTGAAAAAGCTATCAAAGAAAAAAAATCAAGTAAAGCAAAGATCGTTAAAAATATATATCTCTCTATTCGTTTTACTCGAATTAATGCATTTAAGAATTCCTAAATGTACCATTTCACGGATGTAAAAAAAATTAAAATCGTGAGATTTTACAACCGTTGCATAAGCATCAATTACTTGCATAATCAAAGTTTTCAGAGTATACCTATATATACATTCAAAATACACTGTTAGAACATTATACAAATTTTATAAAAATTATGCTTTTTTTAATATTTAAACTTTAATTTAATTTCGCGAAGTTTACGTTTAATATAGTTGAACTCATATTAACTTTGCAGTTTGATAACATTTTGTAATATTGTGTTCGAAAAGGATAGTATGTAATTTTATTTCATTTTATAGTTATGAAGAGGAAGTTTTGTTTATGACAAAATCCATAAAAGTAAAAGTACGTTATATCGCAATAATAAAAATGTATATAGCAGCAAGTATGTGACAAAGTCCACCCCGTCATGAACCCCCGTCGTTGGCAACGACGTTTGATAATTATGGTAAGCTTATCACTTTCCAGATATATATTGAAACAACATCAATATAGGAAATGTTACTGTGTAAACTTGGAATAAAGTGAAAGAAATACATTAAGAATACGATAGACTGGTAGTAAGAATGTAAAAAAGTTTAATCTGCAAGAGCATCATATTAAAATAATTGTGTAAATATTAAAGTTTTATTTTAAAGAAAGCATATTTTAGGTTTATTTTGAAAATTGAGAATAACGAAGAAATATATATTTACATAATTTAAAGTTTAATTTTGATATAGGCTCAAGATTTCTCTATTGCGATTCAAAATAAAAGCAAATTTAAATTGCCTTTCGCGCGAGAGGATGAACTATTTGATTTTTTGCTGTTAAATCACATTAAATAACGCAAGCGTCAAATTCGTGCCTCTATTAAATCATCCATCAGGTTGTTCGCATTGCCTAGATTCTTCGCGAACACTTTCGCTTTCTCGCGATTGAGATTTTATGTGAACGTGAGATTATTACTACAGTAAGAACACATCTACATGGACGCGTAATCGAAGAAAGTCAAAGAATTACATTGAATCTTGGTGAATGCCTTTGCAATATACATATAATCGAATATTTCATCTCTCGGTGGCATAACTGTTTACGTAATGTTTTGTTATATTAACTTATACGGTGTATTGAAATATATAAATTTAAATTCAAAATCTGCGCAAGAGTCCCGTTAATATAATCTTGATTACGTCTACATTTTTAAAATCTATCTTAATGAAATCATTAATTATCGTAGTTATTGTATTGCTTCGAGACATTATATGTCGATATTGACAGAATTGCATCTGCGAAAGTTTTCATTTATGTTATAATATTTGTGTATTATTCAAAAACTTGCATTAAATAATGGATTCGTAAAATTATAAGCAAAAACAAATATATTTTGTTAATATATCTGTTATAAACATCTAAAATCTTTAACTGTAACTTTTTTTTACTTATAAAAGAATACTGTATATATTGTTGATTTTATCTTGTGTATGGCTCCAAAAATTTTTTATTAGAATGAGACATATTTTTTCGTTTAAAAAATAATCTTAAATGTATACAAAAATTGAATACAGAAAATATTTTCTGCTTAAAACATGAAAGTTTCACTCACGTTTCACCGCAAAACCATAATTATACGATATAATTATATTGTTGTGCAAAAATAATTTTGAAGGAAGGTTAATGAGAAATATTGATTGATAGTATGTTCCCGCATAAATAAATAGTTTTACTGCACACATCGAAGATAACGCATACCTTAAAAGCACACAATAAATTTGCAGATTTCCAAAAATAACACACACTCTGTGAAAAATCGTGTTATTTACTGCATTTCGCTGCAGGCAAGATTGTTAGAAATATTTTAAGATATAATTATTGTCCTGACTGAAAACCTAAAATGTACACTACACACCGAACAGATCTATTCAATCAAATAGAGATCGGGTCAGGAAGTTGAAGAATGGTGAAGATGATACTGAGTCTGCTGGTAAGAGTTTGCCTCGTAATATACTCGGGGAGGTTGAGCACGTAAGCCAAGTTTGAAGTACTTTCACTAGACTCGAGATAATCAACCGTCTCTTTATTTCCATCTTCCTTTTCCAATTGTTATTATTGTATCTTCCGATTATCAAAGATTTTTAAATAAAATATACTAAATGGTAATCGTTAGATATTGTATTAATTATTAATCTTTTATTATATATCTCGATTATATATATTTTTCTGGATCAATGTACACGTTGTCATATTTTTATATGATAACGAGTTATTTATATTAAATTATTTATATCTAGATTTATATTTGTTAGAGATATAAAGTAAAAATTAAGGTTTCGCTGTTTTAACAGATGGCGTGTTTGTCACCAGATCGTGGCAATATACATTATTGTACTCATCTGCTTGTTTCTTTCTTTTCCTCCGTGCGAACATCGTGGCGTACTACAGTTCGACAGTTCTTGCCATAATAAAGAAAGAGATTTAAATTTAAAACAATTTATAAAATAAGTT